CATTCCTGTAATCTCTATATCAAATAACAAGTTTTAATGAAATACTAGCGACCCCGCGATTTCACCTGAATCTATTAATGTGGTATTATTTAGATTTCAGAGACAAAATCATCAAAGACAATTTTATTTTATTAATTGTTCGATTTATCAAAAAAAAATTAGCTTCAAGTATAAAATATAGCTTAGATCACTTCTGACATAGCTCTATTATCTCATATATCTGACATATTTTCTTTACGATTGGGGTACGATTTCGAAAATTTACCTGGACAGACATACAGACAGATAGACAGATAAAAAATAAAAAATGGTTGTTCATGTCTTTATAGCATGCAAATAATCCCCTCAGTTTTATAAAAGGCAGTTATTTCGATATTACTTACAGACTCTACTACTACGAGGGCGGCACTGAAAATTTCGGGAATCAAGGAAGTGACACAACATTACTATTTAAAAATGTATTTATTGCTTTTCAAAGTATTCTCCGCAAAATTTGACACATTTTTCCATACGATGGAACCAATCGTTGAAGCAACCATTCCATTCGGAAGTTGGGGTCTCCAAAATGGCCGTTTTGTAGGCGTCCACAGCTTCTTCAGGTGATGAAAATCTCTGTCCACGCAATTTATTCTTTATTTTAGGGAAAGTATAGAAATCATTAGGGCTCAGGTCGGGGCTGTATGGCGGATGGTCTAATAATTCTATGTTTTCTTGCTTTAAAAACTCTTTTGTTCTGTGTGCGGTGTGAGAACTCGCATTGTCGTGATGGAGGATGATGCGGTGGTTGCAGTTCTCTTTACGGAGTTCAGAAACGACCTGTGGCAAAGAAATGTTAGCATACCATTCTGTATTAACCGTTCTTTGTCCCTCAAGAGGAATAGTCGTAACATGGCCGGTTTTGGAGACAAACGTGGCCACCATTTTTTTTGCAACACTCCGTGAACGAACAATTTTTGTTGGCTTTAACTCATTTTTGAACACCCAAACTCGTGACTGATTTTTTGTTTCGGGTTCGTACGCGTATATCCAGGATTCGTCACCTGATACGATGTTGTATACAGCATTTGAGGATCCTGCGTGGAATATTTCGAGAGTTCTGACGCACGTTTCTTGGTGTGACACATGACGTTTCTTGGGTGACTGTAGTTTTTGGACGACCTTGACGATGATCATCACTGAGCTTGACACGTCCACGTTGAAATTCAGCAAACCAGCGATAAATTTTGGTTTTGGATGGCGCTTCATCACCAAATGCAGAAATCATCCGGTCAACACACTGTTTTTGTGTTAAACCAATTCGAAAGTCATAATAAATCAACGCTCTTGTATTTTCTCGAGACAATTCCATTTTCTCAATGACTAAACAAGTTTGACAAAACCTTGTGACAAGACCGAGAATCTTTTTTTAAATAAATAAATGGTATTCGATTTTTAAAACCAAGGACTTTTCAATAAAAAAAAATTAATATGACAGGAACAGTGGAAATATTCCATTCCCGATACTTTTATTGCAGCCTATGTAATGTAGCTCCAGCATGACTCTTGACGGTAGAGCCAGGCTGCAGCTACATTAGTAGTATAGTTGTAGCACGAATGGGTCGGCTCGACCGGGGAAGGACAACGCTCTCATATAATACCAGCGTCAAATAGCAGTTTCATGCTGCTGAGTTGCGTATAGTGAGTGTAGAGAACCGGAGAGCCTTTTACTGGAAAAGAGGCATTCTATCTTAGTCCTCACGGATGACAACGCATCTGCATTTTGATTCGCAAACGACGATAAATGTAGATGTCTATGGGCCACAGCAACCACTTACCATCAGGCGGACTGTGTGCTCGTTCGTCACCCTATCCTATAAAAACGACACTTCAAGTTTATTTACATGTATGAATAAAGTAACGCACATTTTTTTTAATGATACATAAAACATATTACAAAAGTGCATAGTTACTATACAGCACCATTAAACCGCAAAACGGTTTGTATTGGTGCTTGCAGACGTCTATACGCATTAATATATTATTTTTAATAACTACCATCGTACAATTGATAAAGTTAAGCATGGTAACAACTAACAACCTATTCATTGTATTAGTGACATGACGACAAACAGGTTTCGCTAGTTTACCGCGATGAGCGTGTACGGTATACTATACACATACAGGCTGATTTCTATAGCAAATATTTTTTTAATAATTATTTAAATAATAATTTTATATATACCTATATATATATATATATACATACACATACACACACACACACACACACACACACATAGATATATATATATATATATATATATATATATATATATATATATATATATATATATGTATGTATATATATACATACATACATATTTACTATCATTTGAGAATTTATTAAGGAAGACAATTCAGGTTTTCATATAAACAAAGTAACGACCAAAAATGTATGTATTTATAGAAACAACGTCATTATGTAAGGCGATGGACAGAACACAGGCTTCATCCAGCCAGTTCCTGCTAGTTAGAAATAAGGGCTTGCTCAAGTTATCCCGTTTCGTCTTTTTTTTTTGTTAAAATTAAGAGTATAACAAACCTAGAAGCATGGTAAGCATGGTAAACGGATGCTGTGGCCCATAATCGATGATTAAAAATCAAAATACAGCATTGCCCCAAATGAATAGTTATTGAATTACTTATTACGAGTACCAGTATATTCAATTCTCTAGGTTCTTCATACAAAAAACAAAAGCAAAAAGCAAGTTCAAAATTTAAAAAAGTTTAACTCAGCAAGGATAAAAGAACTTATTATTTTTGCTGATATTTGAAAATAGTATAAAGTATACGTTTGCTTCCAAAATTCATTACAAAGAGTAGACCGCCACCGCTCGGATTATTCTAGGTTTGGCATATTAATGATAATCCTGCAATTTACTGTTATTCCTTAATACATATATTTCTTCGGGAATACCCCGCTAAAACAAAGAAATATCACACTGATAAAACAGTAAAAGATTATTTAATTAATTTACTAGAATCACGAGTATAACAATAGATTCCATTTCTGGGCACACACTAATTTTGTTTCTAAGACGATGTTGGATTAGTTCATCGCTATCCCGATGTGTGTTGCCAGACTTCAAATGCGAGACTTGCAAGAGAGTACAGGCAGATGATTAAAGAAACTGTGTTCTTTACTAATGTTGTACAAGCGCGTTTCGAACTTGCCTTGTTGACATACATGATTGAGGTGGCTACCCTTGTCTGAAGTTAACATCGCGCTAGTTTGTACGTATAGCAGTTCCATGTTCATCAGACTATTGTTAAAAAAATTACCTCAGCTACCCAACTTACTAACCGAAAACCGATGAATCGGATACAGGTATATAAACATTAGAATTTTATGTTTGGAAGTAGCTTAGTAAATAAATAAATCAATGCTCGCATCGCAGTCAATTTGTAGAACAAATGAAAAAAGGTTCCAGACCGATCTCCAATTCAATTTATTTCGTATCACATGTGTAGGGTTTCCTCGATCTTTACATTGATCACTGAAACCTAATATAAAACATTTATTCATTTGGATACAAACCAATTAAATCGTCTGGTTTTGTGCTATATTTTAACAAGGATTTGAGGAATTCAATACTTATTTAATATTGTGTGTAATTAGTGTAGAGGTTTTGCGATGTATAGATAAATGTGATAAACCTATTCCGGTGCTTTGCAATCCAATCTTATATATACTTGGAAATGGTAACGCAGTTTTTTTTTCATTGTCACAACATTTACTGCTAATAAAAGACCCCACTTACAAATTCAACATCCAAAATATAATTCAATCTGTGCTTGAACGACATAATGCCTATATTAGATTGAACATTTACATATCTACGTTAATAAATTGAGTATTCACGAGTTTTCTGTCGTTGATAATTGTTAGTAATATTCATTTTTTATATTATTTAAGCCAGCGCTTAACTACAATCCCACCTGATGGTAAGTGGTGATGTAGCCTAAGATGGTGAAGCGCACTGACTTAACAAAGTCTATTCACTCTTGCCTTGAAGACACCTACACCATAATCGGAGGGAAAGACAGATGCTGGCAACTTACTCCACTCCTTTACTGTACGCATGATCAACCACGCAGCAAACCATTTGGTTCGAATGTGTGGTAAGTCAACACCGAATGCGTGGATACTGGCCGAACGTCTGATTGTCTCATGGTGGAAGGGAGAGGGAGGAATAAAATTATGCAATTCCTGTGCACACTTCCCAAAATGCATCCAGTAGAAAACCGAAATGCTGGCTACTTTGCGCCTGTTTTCGAGGCTGGTAAGATTGGTTTTTATGATTCGGGTCACCAATAAGCCTCTTATCACGCCTTCATATTGAGTCCAAAGCTGCTAGGTGGAATTTTGTAGCTCCAGGACCTGCGCTTTATATAAAGTAAGCAAGTTTCCCGGCGTGAAGTATCGCCGCACCTTTGCAAGGACTCCTAGCTTCCTTGCAGCTGCTTTGGCCTTGGACTCAATGAACCGCCCAAAGTTAATATTTGAGGATATCTCGACCGCCAACAACTTAAGGCGGTCGGTGTATTCCAGTGATACATTTCGGAAAGAAGGAGCCAAGGTGAGCTGGCTCCCTTTTGCAGGGAAGAGACACGCTTGTGTTTTGGAGGCGTTGAATTTCACAAGATTGGCATCGCCCCATGCAGAGACTGCCCGTAGTGTGAGATTCACACACTTTACCATAGCTTCTCTTTCAATTCGAACTGGATTTGATTCCGACTGGTCCGAGGACTTGGTTCGTACCTCTCCACAACTGTGCTATCGTCTGCATACCCATAGATATCGGGCATAAGCAGATCATTAATATGCAGCAGGAAGAGACTTGCGGAGAGAACGGAACCCTGAGGAACACCGGCGTTAGTCGCCACAAGATTTATAATAATAATAATAATAATAATAATACGTTGAAGGTACGAGTGGGCCTCCCCCACGAAAGGAGGAATTGGAGAAATTCTGGCGTAGCATCTGGTCAAAAGAGGTGAGCCACGAAGAAAACGCTACATGGATTGCAAAAGAAGAACAGCGTATTCTTGAGATACCACAAATGCCACACGTGGAAATCACAGACGAGGATGTCACTCAGGCGGTGTACAAATCCCTCAACTGGAAAGCCACTGGACCCGATAAGATCCATAACTTTTGGCTAAAGAAGCTCACTGTTTTACACAAACCATTGGCGATGTGCTTTACCTCCTTCATACGCGACCCCCAGCAAATGCCTTCCTACCTAACCATTGGAATAACATATCTACTCCCCAAGGATGCAAATACACAGGACCCTGCGAAATACCGTCCAATCACATGCCTCAGCACTATCTATAAAACCTTGACCTCTTGTCTCTCTAACAAGATCTACCAACATCTAGACTATCACTCTCTATTAGCAACAGAGCAGCAAGGGTGCATTAAGAGATCGCAGGGATGTAAAGAACAACTCACGATAGACTCAGTAGTCACAGGACAAGCGTATAAAAAGTCGAGAAGACTTCACATGGCTTATATCGATTACAAGAAAGCTTTCGACTCGGTGCCGCATTCCTGGTTGGGGAAGGTACTCAAACTTTATAAGATTGATCCTGAGGTTGTTAGTCTATTGGAATGTTTTATGACAAACTGGGCAACTTCTCTTCATCTAAACTACGGCATCAACCAAAAGATAACAACAGGGTACATACCGATACGAAGAGGAATCTTCCAGGGTGACAGCCTTAGCCCATTATGGTTCTGCCTCGCGCTCAATCCCCTCTCCTCACTCCTAAATGAAACAGGACATGGGTTTCTCATAAAAGGGGCAGAAGGATATCACCGAAAGTTGACTCATCTAATGTACATGGATGATATTAAGATCTATGCGGCAAATGAACGAGAGCTCCGGACATTGCTCCATTGCACCGAACAGTTTTCCAGTGACATAAATATGTCATTTGGGCTTGAAAAGTGCAGAACCATGAACGTTTACCGCAGACGAATTGAGCCATCTACAGGTGTTGATCTTCAGACAGGTGGAACGATCGGCGTAATGACAGAAAATGACACCTATAAATATCTAGGTATTCTTCAGTCACATCGAATCCAACACGGTGAAATCCGGTCGAAGATGATTGAAGTATACAATCAAAGACTTAAAGGAATCCTCAGTTCAGGCCTTAATGGACGTAACCTCGTTAAAGCAATTAACACCTTTGCCATCCCAGTGTTAACTTACACGTTCGGCATAGTCAACTGGTCAGACACTGAATTAGAGAGAGTTGAGAGGTCTACTCGCGTCATGCTCACTAAATATCTAGTACATCATCCAAAATCAGCCGTTGAGCGGGTAACTCTACCTCGAGCCAAGGGTGGTAGAGGATTGATAGATATTCGTAGACTGTGTGCCAAACAGGTTCAGAGTCTCCGAAGTTATTTTCTTTCTCGGACGTCCTCTTCCCTGCACCACGTAGTGACAAAGGCCGATGACCGTCTGACGACGCTTGATCTCCTTCATGCCGACAATATTCAATCGTTAGAGACTGACGCTGAATACAAAGAAGCTAAACTCCGGCAATGGGCCTCAAAGCCTCTTCATGGTCGATTTGCAAATGAACTGACCCAACCATATGTCGACATTGAGGCGTCGAACAACTGGCTTAAACATGGTGAGATCTTTGCTGAAACTGAGGGATTCATGGTAGCGATTCAGGATCAGGTGATCATCATCATCATCATCATTACAGCCCTTCACAAGTCCACTGCTGAACATAGGCCTCCCCCAAAGAATACCACAAAGCACGGTCCTGAGCCACCTGCATCCATCGACTTCCTGCATATCTAACCAGGTCGTCACTCCATCTAGTGGGGGGACGCCCTACACTTCGCCTGCCGGTACGAGGCTGCCACTCGAGAACCTTTCTTCCCCATCGGTTGTCGGTTCTTCGAGCTATATGGCCGGCCCATTGCCACTTCAGCTTACTAATCCGTTGGGCTATGTCGGTCACTCTAGTTCTACTGCGGATATCCTCATTTCTGAGTTTATCACGCAGAGAAACTCCGAGCATAGCCCTCTCCATAGCTCGCTGAGCGACCTTGAGCTTCATCATCCGGCCAGCAGTGAAGGACCACGTCTCAGTTCCGTATGTCATCACTGGCAACACGCACTGGGTTTACAGTCTCGTTTTCAAGTTTTGAGGTATACCTGACGAGAAGATGTGCCGTAATTTCCCGAACGCTGCCCAACCGAGTTGAATCCGTCGATTGACCTCTCGGTCGAAGTTGGACTTACCTAGTCGGACTATTTGTCCCAGGTAAACATACTCGTCAACAACTTCGAGCTTAGTGCTCCCAACAACTACCGGCATAGGTGTGACATGGACATTGAACATGATCTTTGTTTTGTCCATGTTCATCTTAAGACCTATCCGTTGGGAAACACTATCGAGGTCATTGAGCATAGTGTTTAGGTCCTCCAGCGATTCTGCCATAAGGACTATATCGTCGGCAAATCGAAGGTGAGTGATGTACTCGCCATTGATGTTGATACCGTATCCTTTCCAGTCCAGAAGCTTGAAAACATCTTCCAATGCAGCGGTAAAGAGTTTCGGGGATATGACGTCACCCTGTCTTACACCTCTCTGCAATTGGATAGGTTTCGTACTCTGGTTCTGTACTCGGATAGCCATCGTAGCCCTACTGTACAAGCACTTCAACACTTCGATATACCGACAGTCAACTTGGCATCGCTGAAGGGACTGCAGCACCGCCCAAATTTCGACGGAATCAAAGGCTTTCTCACAGTCCACATACGCCAGACATAGTGGCAAATTGTACTCCTCGGACTTCTGTACAATTTGCCGAAGGGTATGTATGTGGTCTATGGTGCTAAAGCCTTTTCGGAAACCGGCTTGTTCGGGAGGCTGGAAGTCGTCAAGTCTGCGCGCGAGACGATTCGTAATGACTCTCGAAAACAGCACGTAGACGCGGCTCAGAAGGGAAATCGGTCTGTAGTTCTTCAAGAGAGCGTTGTCGCCTTTCTTGAAGAACAAGACCACCGCACTTCTGCTCCACGCCTCCGGTGTAATGCCACCATGGAGGACGGAATTAAAGAGCTTCTGAAGGACTTCAAGTACCGGTTTTCCACCCGCTTTCAGAAGCTCCGCTGTAATTCCATCCTCGCCTGGGGCCTTGCCGTTTTTAAGGTGCTGGAGAGCCATTCTAATCTCGCTCAGACTGACGTCCGGGATATCATCGGAATAATGCCGGATAAGACTCGCTCTTGGATCGTTACTCACACTTGCGTGCGGCTCCAACGATGACGTGTACAGCTGCCCATAGAACCTCTCAATCTCACTCAAAATCTCAGGTGCCCCGGAAACGATGCTGCCACATTCTGTCTTCAGCTTTGACAGTTGGCGCTTTCTGGCAGACAGATCTCTGACAAAGACTTTGGAGCCTTGGTTCCGCTCGATCGCTTCTTCAATACGAGCTGTATTGAAGTTGCGTAAGTCCCGCCGCATGCATTTGGAGATCTGTCTGTTCAGTTGCCTGTATGCTGTCAAATCTGATCAGGTGTCAGATCAGGTGATGCCTACGAAAAATTATCTCAGGTTCATTGTAAAGACAGGCATCGAAGATGACCAGTGTCGACGGTGTCATCAAAAGCCAGAGACCATCCAGCACATCACTGGCGGCTGCCAAGTTCTTGCTGGAACCGAGTACACCCAGCGCCACGACAATGTGGCAAAAATTATACATCAAGAACTGGCAGTACAACACGGTCTCTTAAAGGAGACAGAGCCTTACTGGAAGTACAACCCATCCCCGGTACTTGAGAACGATTCGGCCCAACTTTATTGGGACAGGTCGGTTTTAACTGATCGGACGGTTGAGCATAATCGGCCGGATATAATATTAGTAGAAAAAGAGGAGAAGCGGACATGGTTGTTGGATATTGGTATTCCAAATTCGCACAATGTGCAGAAATACATCACTGAAAAGATGGTTAAATACCAGCGGCTGGCTGAAGAAATACGACAGTTAAGGCGGCAGCAGCAGGTCCATATTGTCCCGCTGATTCTCTCCACCACGGGAATTGTTCCTAAATCCCTTACTGAGAACTTAGCGAAGCTAGGTATCTCAGTGAGGGTGAGGAACAAAATACAAAAAGCCGTAATCTTGGATACGACAGCGATCGTACGTCGCCACCTCTCAATTTAAGGAATAAAGGGCGGGATCTGGCGATCAGCCGATGCCGCATCTAAAACCCCGAAAAGGAGCGCTAATGAAAGTGATAATAATAATAATAATAATAATAATAAATAATATTTATGTATTATTTATGTATTTATTTTATTTTATTCATATTTTTGTATGTTTACCATTTTCATTTACAATTATATATTTATACTGCCCAACCAGATGAGAAAACTTTATAGATACCCCAAAATAATAATAATAATAATAATCATTTATTGACAGACAACAAAGGCCCGTAAAAAAAAACATAATTACTTATAATTAACAAACATAAAAAAAAAGAAATAAAATAAAATAGTAATGTAATACAAAAATTGAACAAGATTTTATTAATTCGTTGCTAAATAACGTGTTAATATTCGCATTATAGTCTCCTAAGGCAATAGCCACATTTACGAAATGATTTTCTAATAAACTTTTGATTATACATAAAATATTTGTAAATTCAGGTAAATTTTCAAGATTGTTTTGAGGCATATAAACAGAAAAATACATATGACAATTCCCATTAATATACGATTTTATAGCACAAATTCGTGAATCATTACAATTTACTAAGTCAACATTATTAATTAACGCAGTTCTCCACAAGAGGGCCACACCTCCATATGGTCTCCCTTTTAATATTCCGGATGAAGAATCGACCGCAGAGGTACCATGTGAAGAGAACTCGGTATGAATTGTTGACAAAAAAAGATAGCTCATGGGGAAGCATCCAGGTCTTTTGAAGAGCCACCACATCAAACTCTTTACACAGTTCCCTAACATGATCAACACTTCTCTTAATTGACTGACAATTAAAACTAACGAACTTCATTTCTTACGGAATTACTTTGCCAGAAATGTCTAAACACTATGCCTACAGGCCAGAAGTCCTCATTCATAAAAATATGTTTTCTGTCCAAATTAATCCTTACCTTAAAAGAAGCAAAGTTAGTCACTTTAAAAGGTTAAATACGTTCAACACTTATCACTTGTTCACCTTTACACTTAATATACTCCTCAAGCTTATCAGCAGTCGTTGAAACGTCTAAACGTGATACATATAAGCAAATAGATCTCGGAGCAGCTCGGATAAGCGAATCTCCTAGTGGTTGCACGGCCGCCCTACCCTGCCTATTCCTATTTTTCTTTTTATAAGACACGGGCACAAACCCTTCGTCTTTATTTGTTGTTGTCAGATTAACCTCTTTTTGGCTATGTAATGGTGCAGACGTATTTATGTCGTTAATTATCGTATCATCAGTCTCGCCTAACACTGTTACCGTACTCGTACTCGTAGTTGCAGACGGACGTTCAATACGCATACGTACGTCCTCTCTCGACACACTTCTCTTTGCTACAAAAACCGAGGTCGAGCGTGGAAGCGATTGCGATGCACTCTCAGCGCTCCTCCCTCTCTCCCTTCCAAAAGTGCGTAGTAACACTGGTGATCGGTCGTTTCTTATTTGAGTTTCAATAGAAACAAAGCTACTATTTTTATCTTTACTGCCTTCTTTTTCTAATTTATTATCACGAGTATGTTGTTGTTCTAAATCTTTACGTAGGTTCTCCAAATCTGATTGCGTAGCCAATACGTTTTTAATGTTCAATAATTCTTGTTTTAACAGAACTATGTCCTTTAAAAGACTGGTTACATCAACGTGATCAAATGTTACGGGTGGGAGCCTATTAAGGTTCTTCGCCACAAACACTGGAAGGCTAGAAGGCTCCATTTCTTTAAGAATTTTTATGATATCCTGAAGAAGCCTTTTGTTTTTCCCCTCCCCTTTACGTGTCACTCGTCGAGTTATTGAAGAATCTAACAGAAGCGCCTTTGCACGATCAATTTCTTCCTCCGTAAAATTAGATTCGCATATTTGTAGTAAACTGACTTCATCAATCACGTCGATTTTACACTGAATAAAACAAAGTATCTCGTTTACCACTAAACGGCAACCACACAGATTTGATATTTTATATAATTAGCGAAGCGCATGAAAAATGCACACACGTCCGTACGCTAGCGATGCGCGTAACTCAATCTATTAATCAATTATAAGATATATTTGTTCTTAACATTGGTAATATTCAAGAAATTAAACAGTAGGTTTTATAGATCTCATTTTGACACTGTACTAGAATTAAAAAAGTCGTTTAACGAACGGAGTTTTATAATCTGACGTCGAAAAAAATATTTTATTTTATTTTATTATCATTTAAGCCCAGCTTGTTATATTCACTTCAGTTTGGCGATATTTTCGTGTTTTTTTTGTTAACATAATTTTTGAAAATCAATTAGGTTCATGATTTCTAAGACTTCAAGTCTATAAGATATCAGATCTATAAAATCGTCGTCATTTCATGATGATTTCATTTCTTAATTTCTTTCTTACGTGCTCTATGGTATGTCGGTTAATATAATGTCAAGATAAACTAAATTCTAGTACAACTAGATGTCTTTGTGAAAAATACTGATATGATAAACTCATTTATATTAGACTAGCGAAACGCTCTGACGTTGCCTGGGCAGAATCTATTATTGTGGCGTTATTTAGATTGTTTATTTAGAAGTTTCAGCCTATATATCACACTCTATGGTCACACTGTTGGGCACAGGTCTCATCTCATTTCTGAGAGAGTTTTAGGGCAAGGAAATATACGCCGCGCTTGCCCAGAGCGTGTTGATCTTCGAAATATTTTTTTTCTTATTTCTCAGACATGTAGGTTTCCTCACGATGTTTTCCTTCACCGCCGAGCACGTGGTAAATCAGCATTTAAAATTACCATGAACAATTTCATTGGTGCCGGCAAAGATCGAACCCCGGTAAAGCCAGACTATTTATTGTCAAAAAATAGTTTTTTAGAAAAATGCCCCAAGTTACCGGAGAAAATACAGCTTAGATCACTCCTGGAATTGCTCTCCATCTGTTTGTGAAGCTTCATTACAATAGGTTCAGCCATTCCGAAGATTAGCCTGGATATAGCAGACAAAAAATAAGGTTATTCATGTTTAATGGCATGCAAAATGCTAAAGCAGCTACCCTGAGCACAATATAAGGCAGTTATTTCGATACTAAAGACAGACACTTCAATTTTATTTACATATATATAGATGTAATACAATCAGTCGCGCAGCATAGGTTACTGCCGCACTGAGTCGACCTCCCCCCCCCCCATCACAATTTATTTTTAAGTATATTAAAAATATGATATCGATAAAAGTCTTCTGTAGTCTTAGCATAATATATTTTTTTTATTATTTATTTGGGCTAGCAACAGCTGAACTCTTAAACTATTACAAATTGTAAGTACCAAATCAAGTCAAATACAGTGAACCTCAACTACTACCAAAAATAAGACAACACTGTGTTTGATTTTATCTTCACGCACAATCCCTGACGGGGTAGCCAGAGAGAACAGATCGCCAAGTGTCACGATCCTTACATACCTCTTTCGCTTCTTTCAGATTCATTATCTTCTTCATACATGCACGTCTAGGTATCCGAGTACTCTTGACCCTACCCTCTTCGAGCAAATCTAAAAATGGAAAAGGCTCACAGACGAGACTTAAAAAAAGAAAAGTTAAGTAATATTTAAGTAAAAGAACTGAAAAAATAATATTTTTTAAATATTTATCCTTTGGTCTGTGTGGATAACGCCTATTTTGAGGTCTTTCAATGTTACAATGTTCTTAATAATATTTTAATCAAGAATTTTCAGTAACAGTTAATTTTCGGTTCTTTTGAAATCCTTCGTAACAAGATTTATAAAGTCAGAGCGGCGAGCTGCTTTTCATTCCTAAAATACCGGCCGTTAAAATGTGCTATCCGGGGACATGTCCCCTCACGGCCCTCCCTGCTACGCCAAAGTCAATTTGAAAGTATTGTTTATATATAACTGTACTTGTCTGTGGTAATGTCAAAAACCTGGGGACAATTATAATACAGACAGTGTAGAAAACCAACATTTTTTTTTTAATTTCATATTATGTTTGCTCCAGTCTTTTTTAACAGTGTTAGAGCCACGCGGCAGCTTTTGCTGTCGCACGGATGGGCCGGCTCGAACCGGGGTAGTACCACGACCTCACAGAAAACCAGCGTGAAGTAGAGGTTTACCTCTGCGTTCCGCTTGGTGAGTGCAGGTGGCCGGAGGTCCTTTTTACTGGAAATGAGGCATTCCATCTTAGTCCTCACGGGTGACAACGCATCTACATTTTGATTTGTAACAGAGGATAGATGTAGATGTCTATGGGCCGCAGCAACCACTTACCATCAGGTGGATTGTGTGCTCGTTTGTCACCCTTATCCTATAAAAAAAGTCTTAGAATCCACGAATAGTCATAAACAACATGAAAACCAGCTTTTTTAAATCTATTCTCAATTAAGAATTTAAACGCAGATGTTTTGTCCTGAGAATTAAGATGAGAATGCTTCGTTAACAGTATAGTGTTTTCGGTTCTCGTAACAACCATACGATATAATTGTACACACGAGAGTTGCTACCGCCAAACTGTGCTACAGTTGCATATAAGCCTCACCCATAGATCGTAAGGGGAATAATTGCTATAGTTACCACGCTTGGCAGGCGGGTTGGCAAACCTCTGTTTTTTATTTTTTAGTTAAAAGCTTTTACAAAAATTTACTTCGCAAATATCCGCGTTATAAAATAAAATGATGTGTCTTACCTAGTATGAAGAAGCACATCATTTTATTTTATAACGCGGATATTTGCGAAGTAAATTTTTGTAAAAGCTTTTATATAATGGATTTCCGCAAAGTAACGCCTGATTCTATTAATTATATTTTTTAGTTGTTATTCTGAAGACGCTGCTCCCAATCTCCTCTTTTATTTTTCGAGTGGATATTCGCACACCGCCTCTACACAGAGGACGCTATATTTAAAGTTACATAAACGACAATAACAGAAGTAAATACAAAAACGTTGTCAATATAATAGGTTACAAGAATTTTCCTCGATTA